CTATTAATTTATTCTAGACATCTAGTTACTCCTTTATATTGTTCAAGCCTTTCCAATAACAGGATAAATCTGTCAATGTGAAGTCTGCAGGACTGTGCATAGAGGACAAATAGTACAGGGTTTTCTGAGCCTCCATTGTGGCACATCCTTTTTCCAAGTTTGCATGGATGAACACATCCATCACTTTGCAAAAGAAGTTCCTGAACTGCTCTCAGAAACTCTTTTCCTCAGCAACAAAATGTACCCATCTGTCTCCTCCGCTGTGTGCCTCAGGGTCTGGGCACAAGCCTTTTATTCCAGAGCAGGAACTGGTAAACTGCCATGGGGTTATTGCCATGGTATAAAAGCTCCAAGAGCAAAAAACTGGTATAATCTTCTAAGTGTGTAATTTTTCTTTACAGACACCCATCTGCAGTGGAGTGGGTTATGTGGTGGTTTTCTGTCTCATTTCATGCAATTTGTCGAATTTTGCTTGTGAATCATGAATTCCTGTTTCGGGGATTTATTGTAGTCTTTGCTGTCCCTGGATGTGTTTGTGGAAAGCTAGACTGGTGACTGCTATGAGCCCTGTGATTATAAAGCAAAATGAGTTAAGCAAGAGTCAGTAAACTTCTTTGCTCTTGAGAGCAGCAGGAGGCCCAACAACTTCTTTCAGTTTAAGCTGGCACTGACACCAGGCAAATCCATTCTGTGAACAAACAGCAAATCAGTGAAGCATTAGAAGACAGAAGCATCCAAAACCACTGAGGACAACAGGACTGGGAGGCCAGCATTTCCTTGAATCTGACCTGCAGAACCCTGAGATCTTCAATGGCATGGCAGTCATTCATAATTATTTTTGCTTGTACAATGTTGTAAACCAGTTAAAAAATGCTAACATCTTGGGAAATAGCAAAAGCTGAAGATTTGTTTCTTGTAAATAAAGTACACAGGATGTTTTGCCATTAGTTACTGTCTGTTTACAGACAGAGTGAAATATTCATCATTAAAAGCCAGAAAATATTGGAAGACGTCTCAAAAATTACTGTTAAAACCTCCCAATGTGCTCTGTGGCATGTATTTTAGCAGAATGATTTTAATGAGAAAATATGTTGTATCTTCAAAATGAAACATTCCTTGATCAATATTCCACAATGATTCTGGCAGAATTTAAAAAAAAAAAAATTTTTTTTTTCTAGTAGGAGGAGAGTTCAGAGAGCTTTCCTGCAGAACCAAAAACCATCCTAACCTGGTTTTGCTGGCAGGTAGTGCTCTACCTATGGCATATTGTCAGCTTTAAATTGAATAGTTTAGACACAGCTGGAGTAGCTTTGGGACAAATTGTTTTACTTTCTTGTGCTTCAGTGTCTGTAACTGTAAGTCAGGGATAATAAGGATGAGCTCTTCTGGAGCTTCTTGAACCCTCTGATTGAAAGGTTAAATATGAGTTTTCACAATTCCTATTAATACTCTTCTGTGATTGTGATATAAAGGCGAGAATTTTCCCCTGTGCAGTGCTAGGTCAAGTGTGTTTGAGGCTGTCTTCAGTTCTTGTTCAGTCAGTGGCTTCAGGAACCTGGGCTCATGCTCTCAGACTTAGCTTTTCATTAGTGCTCCTTTTGATGTAAGCCTGAGAGGGCAATGACAAGCTTGCTTTGAGCTGGAGATGCAATTCCCTCAGTGTAGCATCTCTTACAGCCTGTGAGCTCCAGCCTTGCTGTGCTTTTAAATGGCAGATAACCTGGTGGCTGGGACAAAGTGACAGGAGCTTCATCTCTGCTTTGCTTTCCTCTGGTCCAATGCTGGCTCTGGGAGCCAGCTCTGGAAGTACAAAGGATGTGCAAAGTGACTGTCAACTGTAGTAACTGTGCCCCCAGCACAGAGATAAATTCTGCCCTGGGTTTTAGTGCCAAGGAGTCAAAGGAAGTGCAATGCAGAGAACAGCTCCCATGATCAGGGCCTGAATCAACCCAGCAGGACCAGAGCATCCTCACCAGCTGGTGAGGCACAGCATTGGAAAATGCCAATGGAGTCAGCAAGACATAACCAGATGGGTTGGGCCTAATGTGATAATGGCAAATGAAGGGAAAAGAAATTACTAAATATAGCTTATTTACCAAGTGAAGTACAGAAGATGAACATTCCTATGCAAGATGCATATTTACATGTATATATAGAATTTTTAGGTGTACAGTTGACATATAAAAATGTATATTTGTGTGTGTGTACATTTGCTCAGTATAGCTGAATATTAGTAACATCAATACTAAAATCATTATTGCATTAGAAAAGTCCCCACAGATGCACTTCTCTAGCTGCTGTGACACAAAAATGGTTGATCTCCTGCTGGGTTTATACAGCCTAAATATAGCTCAAAAGATGTTTCTGACACACTTGCCTCTCTTTTTGGTTGTCAAATGTACTCTGAGTAAGAGTACCTCGGAGAAAGGGGTTTCTGTGCTCTCAACATGCAGTCCTGTTTCCTGTGAAGTACATGGGAAAGCAGCCTTGAAGAATGTGAGTCATCAGATCTGTCAAGCTGAAACCACTAGGCAGAGACAAGGCAGATGGAGATGTAAATGCAATTCAGGCTGAACAGACATTTTAAAAATGCGGCATTGTCTCATCTTTCTCCTCTTAGGTCATTCAGTTGAAAGTCCCCTTTGGTGGGCAGGACACTAAAATTTTCCCTTCAGTTCAGCAAAGCAGGGTTTGCTATGTGCCTGCATCAATTATCTACCTCTACATCAGCCAATATACACTTGCTGTGTGCTACTTTGGTCAGTGAAACACCTTGTCTGGGCCACTGCCCTGCCCTCAGCAAGCAGGTACTGTGTTAACACTGAGCTGGGTGCCTGACATCAGCAGGCTCCAGCTTGTGAAAGGCATTGGTGCAATCCTGCTGGAACATAACATGCAAAGATGAGTAAAGTGGGTGTTCTCTGAGTTTAGCTTATCCCAGGGATGAGGAAAAGTATATGGTTTCCTTTCCTTCTTTAAGTAGGTCCAGTCCAGTCTGATATTGATTTCTACAAGGGCAGCAACAGATGCTAAATCAATAGGAACCAGCAGTATCCCAGAGAATGACTGTCCACACAGACTTGAGTCCTGCTCTTGAATGAAAAGGCAACCTTTGAACCTTTGTGGGCAACTCTTCCTAGGAAACACCACCCTCATCAGATGAGTAAGGGAATATGCCTGAGAATCCAGCTTGGCATTTTCTGCATAATGAAATTCTATCCAATTTGCTTCTTTCAAAAATCTTCACAAAGTTCAGATCCTTAGTTTTGAGAAAATCTGCTTTGCCTGACACTGGTACTTCCATATATAGGTGTATCACTCCAGACCTGTACTGATCTATGTAACTGTACCAAGTGGAGAGTGAATGGGCAGCCTCAAGGATTTCCCCACACATCTGTGAAATTGTCAGCTGAGTGGCTGCAGCCAGCAAGAAATTCACCACACTGCCTACTGACAATTGAAAGTACAGTGGCATAAGGGGGCTGCATCACATTAAAACTGGCCTCAGGGTCCTATGCTTTCACCTTGCTTTTAGTAGCAAGTCTTATGGCAATTTTCTGTTTTTTTTTTTTCCCTACTTATTGGTGTCTAACAAGTTCTGAACTATAATGGCTTTAATTCATCAAAAAAATTGCAGTGGGGATTTGACTCATCTCGAGAAGCTATGTGCCATTGCTTTCAGGTGACTCTGAGTGACTGGCAGTAATGCATCAGCCCAGGCATTGACCTTGCCTGCAGTCCTGTCACAGTGCTCCGCTCCTGTACCTTGAGTGGAATGAGACCTGGGCTATGCAGGTGTAGATTTGTTATTTGAAGTCACACCAGCGCCTTTCCCCAGGGCTGGAAGGAGACAAGCCAGCAGGAGCCATTGCACTCCTATCTCCCAGCAGCCCAGGACCGAGCTCCATGTCCCCCATCAGCTCTGAGGCCTCGGGGTGTTACAGCCAGGTCCTCCAGCTGTCCCCACCCCTCTGCCCTGTTGGCAGGACCTGTCCTGTGCCTTGCTGCCATTATGGTATTGGGCTGTTCAGGCCAAAGAGGCCGTGCAGCTGGGCACAACTGAAGTAATTAATGTAAGGGGGAATGGTGGCTTTACATTATGTAAATTGCAAGTCCCACATATCATTTATCATAAAATCCCCATTGTATGTAATGCTGTGTGATGGACTGAACTTCACTTGGATGGGCTGATTGAGCTTTGCTTTTGTTTCCCTCATAATGTGGGGCTGATGTCTTAAACAAAGCATTTTAATGCCAGATAAGGTAAAAGGCTGTTAAGAAACCTATTCTACAGGGATGAGGTAATGCTTTTCATCATATCAATTTCCTCTCCCCCAGTAAGGCTGACAGCATAAAACTCCCTCCCAGGGCAGGTTGCTGGGTGCTCACACAGAGGCCTGAAGCTATTCCTCCCTAACAAGGCACAACTGGCACAGTCAGAAACAGGGCCAAAGAAGCTATCGTCACTGGAAGGGGCCACAAACCATCAAAAGACCCCCAAAGAAAACCCCTCCCTGGGGGAAGTACTGGGGCATTCCCACATAAGCCTGAATGTATATAAGCTGTCAAACTTTGTTGTGTGGATGCTGGCCCCAGGAGATCAAGACTGCCATGATGACTCCAACTATGGACATCAAAATTGCAACAATCAAGTCTTTTTGCTGAATCCATGGGCGGTGACATCTTTCCTCCCCACTATCTACTCTTGTCCTTTCTTTCTCTTTCTTTCTTCTAATATATTTTCTTTGTAATATTTTTACAACTGTACAGAGAAGAACCAAAATGGCTACATACCTCCTTTCCAGTGCAACCAAATTGTTCTGAAACAAACTTGCCTCAAAAATGTACACTGGTCATTCAGTGTCATTTCACACTAATCCACCCCAAGGTATCTCTTGACAAGAACTTCAGTTTCCCTGGTTTTATTGACAAGAACTTCAGTTTCCCTGTTTTAGAGGTGGGTTGTAATACTAATCTAGGAAGTAGTACACATTAAAATATTCAGAATAATAAGCATTTATTTTCAGTACTATTTTCATTAAATATTGGCATAATATATCCATGTCTGAGGTAATAAATTAAAAATAAACTCAAGATTTCAGTCCCATATTTGTGCTGCATACTTTTTTCTACCATTATACATAATTTTGAAGCAAACACACACAGTCTGTAATTCTGAATGCAGCTAGGAATATTGTTTTACACAGTCACTTTTTGTTTCACTATAATTTTGCTGAGAATGGTTATTGCATGATACACTTTTAATAGACTTTTAGTTATACTAGAGTTTTCTATTAGATCACACATATCGTAATTATAGGAAGATGGGCATGAAGATGTGCTTTGAGCCAAGGATGGCAAATACTGAATCAGTGATAGCACATACTGAAGCATTATTGTCTGCCTTCACTAGAGCCCAGATCCAGCAAAGCCATTTCAGTGTGTGCTTAGTTTTAGACATGAGTCATTTCAGTGTCATCCATGGCCTTAATTTTTGCTGAATCAAGGACTAGCCAAATCTGTAGAACTGAATTAATAGACTTTAACTGTGTGTTATTTGAAAACAGGTTTGCTGGTTTCATATTTTGTAAGATATTTAGTAATGACCTCTGTAAGATTGTTTGTATCAGTGAAGCACCCATGAAAGTTTCTAACCTGGTTCATAAATACACTATGAAAAAATAAGCAGCTACAATGACTCTCTTCTACACATTTTGTTAAAAGTAACACCTGGTTTGAAAAGTTATTAAAGTAATTTTTTCCATGGTAAAATATATTTAAAAAAATAAACTCTTAATTTAATCATCTTCCATCAAACATATAAGCATGTTAAAGGGCGGGGCATAATTCAGGTATTTTCATTTATAAATGCAAGAGATTGAGTGTATCAATCTTTTGCACTTAAATGCTGGTGGTAGTAAGGCCCTTTCAGCTAAGTTTTCATCAAGCCCAACATCAGTGAGCCAAATAAACAAACAAACACAAATTTTGCTTGCATATAACTTTTTCATAATCCTGAATTTAAAAAAAAAATCCTCCCTGCTTAGAAAAGAACTCTTATTTAACTGCTGCCATTAAAAAGTATACCTCACTTCCATGTTAAGTTTAATCAGTGATTCTGAATGCAAAGGATTTAAACACTCACTAAAATTGCTGTGGCATGCCATTAGACTCTTAATGTTCATAAATTGTGCTAATTCCCATTTAAATCAGGAAGCTATTGTTTGGAGTTAGAGCTAATGGTTGTCTTAGTGTTAAAGGTCTATTTCCACCAGATTTTCTTTATTCTATTTTGCAAATGACTGAACAGTGCTTATGATGTGATCCTGAAAAACCGTTTGGTGTTATTACCAGAAGCTATAGTCTGTGAGAAAACTCTCCATGCTCATGCAGTGAGTCGCATTGCTGGGGGACCATGGCCAGTGCTGCTCCTGGGCCTGGCCGGGCCCTCAGTACTCCCCCGAGCTCACCATCGCCATCGGCTCGTCAAACGTGGCCAGCCTGATCTGCTTCGGGGTGGGCATGGAGAGCATCTCCCCGGGGTCCGGCGGCGAGTGAATCCCATTGTCCATCATGCCGGACACCTCCTCCTCGTGGTCCTCGTACAGCGTGTTGATGTGCAGCAAAGGGTGGGCCGGGTTGCAGCTCAGTGCAGGGGTCGGCTCTGGCTTGACCTGGTTCAAAGCCATACTGGTGGCAGCAGCAGTGGTGGCTATATGGTTGTGGTTACACGTGACAAAAGCCGCAGCAGCAGGCACAGTTCTGCACGTCTCAGATGAGTACAGGATCTCTTTTGCAGGATGAGGGGTGTCTACAAGAGAACAAACCACACAGATAAAGGACAGGTAGTCTTTCACCATTCCAGTCCATCAGCGAGGAGTGCCCCGAACCAATAAAAGTCATTGGCAGTCTTGCCACTGATTTCAGTGGGATCACTGAATTGTCTTGGGACCCTTTGAGAAATCCAAACAGGACCGTTTCAAAACAACAGGGTAGTAAGCTCAGGGAAACGGGACAAACAAGAAGTGGGGTTTGTAAATCTCACTCTTTTTTATGCATGCTCATGCTTCCTTATGTGAATGGTATTTTTGTAAAATGAAGAAAAGAAACAACTGAAAAGTATATTTATTCCCCTCTACAATCTGGCCAGTGTTTTTTAAACAGTATGATTTAATGTTTTGACAAATGCAATGACTATTGAAATTCAAAAGATGAATACAAAAGGCATTGATATTTTCAATGGGAAAAAATAGTGGTTACACATTGTAAGCCACTTGTCTTTAGAAAGAACTCAGCAATTTGTCATAAACTGAAGTCTCTTTTCAGAATTTGTAAGTCTGCCTTACCTGATGGACTGCAATGTAGGTCTAATTCAAAAACAAAGTTGAAAATTTTTAATGTGAATTGGGATTCACAGAGCCCCAAAACTCCAGTAATTATTTTTTGCCCTTAAATTATTCAAGCACTAATTTAGATTAAGGTAATTGAACCAGAAAACCCCAGCAGTTTTGAGGAGTTGAAATCAGAGCAGGTGACTGGATAAAGAATGCTGTAGAATAGCTCACATGCATATTGGGGAGTTGGAGGACTCTAAGGAGCATAGGGATTTGGAAGTGACAGAAACTTTTATACCTCAAATCACTTCTTTGCTGGGCAGTGGGGTGACGGTAGAGGTCAGTCTGTCGAAGCCCAGAGGGAGGTCTTAGCTTGTAATGAGATGAGAGCCATTGCTTTAAGTACATACAGATTTTTCTGTAACTTCATCTGCATAGTGCTTCTTTCTTATGTCAGTAGCTTACAAAAATAAACAAGAAGATATCTGTCTATCAGTTTACTTACTGATCTATCACTTTTCTTAATGTTCAAATGGCTTTCCTCATCATCCTAGCTCCTACCAATTATTGATATATTTTAAACACTCCCTTGAGTTAAGAAAGAGACAGGCTTTACAAGACACACAGGGAACCGAGGCATCTCCTGTGAGGCCACATGGGAAGGGAATGGCAGAAATCCTGAATCCCTGACCAGCACCCACACTTCAGAGCATCCATCCTCTGGCCCACATAAGACACAGGGCAATTTAAAGTGTGTGTGAAGAACAATGTCAACAAGCTGAGTTTTGATTTTCTAGATGACAAACATATGACAACCCCTGAGAGTTGGTAGTCTAAGAGATCTTCTTTCCACAGGCAGCTTTAACTGCCATTAGTAGTCTCCCACACACCCCTAAGGGGCTATTACTGCTCAGGGTATTGGTCATTTACCATGGCAGTTTCCACATGACTTGAAAATAAGGCAGGTTTGAAACGTGCCAGGTGCTGGTGGAGCAGGAAGGGTATCATGGAAGCCAAACACTCCTCATTTCCTTGGCAAGGCATGACCACATTTGTAGTTGTGAAAACCTGCTCACATTTGAAACGTTACCCACACCAACAGCCTGCAGCCTGTTTTGTACAGCTCTACCTGTAATAATCCTTACCCTCCATACAGCTGTTAAAGAGAGAGAACCTGTATTTCTGAGACCTGCAAACTTTGAGATAACTAGCTGTCCCCAAATCTAGCAAGGTAGGCCAAACAGTTTCAATAAATGTGAGTTCCTTAAGATTGCTATGTAAATTATGGGCTGTGAGGTGGTATGGGCATTATGGCATACTGTACCTTTGAGAGAGGAGGTAACATGCACTACAACATTCTCTTCCTGGTTTATAAATCCACCCTCTTGGCTTTTTGATGTAGGCATCGAGGGGATGGCTTGAGCCTCAGGTTTGGGTTTTTTGCTACTAAGTATATATGGATGAACATCCAAGGAAAAGTGCCGTGTGTGCTTTTTTTCACTGCTTGTGCTTGGGATGGCGTTTGGCTCGCTCTTATGAGCGGACGATTGCTGAGAGGTTTTTGCAGCAGACTCCAACAAAGGAGCTATAAGGCTGTCTGTTGCTGTTTTTCTCCGCACAGGCTTCGGCTTATCAGGCTTATGGTTCTCAACCTTCATAATGGCTAACTGCTCCTTGAATGGCTGGGGAAGGGGATTGGTAGTCGGGATCCATTTCATCTTCTTCCTTGGCCTCTTAATGATGAGCTGCTCATTAGCATCAATGTCTGCTGGATCAACGCTTGGATCTATGGTCTGAATCCCTGAATCACGCATGGTTGGAGTGGCATCGTGGTTGGACTGGGCCAATGCCGCGAGCAGCTGCCGAACTACATTGTCGTACATCAGATCGCTTTCATTTGTAATAAAATCCAGACGGTTCAGTGATTTTATGTGGTCCCTATTTTCATTACAAAACATCGCCAGAATATTAATATCACAAAACTGGGACTTCTGCCACTGTTTCTTGGTCTTTATTCCAACTTTGTTCAGTTTATCAAATATGAAGTTAGACTTACGAAATATGAAGAGGTGAATCAAGTTGATGAGGATTATCAAGTTCATGAAGCAGAGGAGAACGATATCTACACCAGCAATAATCCGCTGGAGCTGGACAGATGGCAGTTTACAGTTAACTCTGATGTGCAATTTGGAGCTGCTCGTTTTGTCTGGAGGCTCACCTAGTGCACACGTAAATTCATTTTGCTTCTGTGTAGCATAGTAGGTGGATAAGTATGTGATTGGTATGATGCTTAAAAAGATGATGAACAGATGTCTTGCAAGATAAAGCTTAGCTAAAAAGTTACTCCGTCCTCTTCTTTCCAGGTATTTCTCAAACAAGTTCTGCTCAGGGCTTTTTTCCTTCTCTGCATTCTCAATGATTTCTCTTTTCTCTCTCTCGGTTATTCCTGGGCCTTTGGACTGAATCTGTTTCTCTATTTTTGGTGCCCGCCCTTCAGCTGCACGGTGGTAGCAGTTATCGATCTCCTGAAGCAAAAAATTAAGCTCCGAAGTCAGTCGAGTGGAGGCCAGAAATTCCCAGCCCAGAGCTGGAATGTACATTATCCCAGCAAAAGCCAGCAGTGCATAAGGTAGGAACTTATGCTCAAACAAGGAGGGCCAGTGGCTGGCATCAACTCCTGGCAAGGCATCTTTTAATTCTGTCCAACAATATCCTCTGGCATACAAGGCTTGATCGCGGGTGAAGTTGTGTGGTGTGTAACAGTATATTGGCTCCTCTGTATAACAGAGAGAAAAGTCACTGCTGTGCATTTAACCTACAAAAGGAGCTCTGGAAAATAAACATTTCAAATTATATAAATTTTATTTTACTCTATCTTTACATGACCATTAAGCCCTCCACATATATTAGCCAGCTCAAGCTGCACACATCCTCACAAACCCCATTGGCAAAACTATTTACCTGAGAGTTTTAGAATGAGCCTGAGTTAGAAATATCAGCGAGAAATACGTATTTTGGTTTAATGACCTCTCTGAAAACAATATCCTAAGCAACTGTGACATGAACTCTGTAAAGCTAAAAGACCTGATATTCACTACGAAGCCAGTAGCTGAGAATGTTCCATGCAAATGCTGAAAATTAGATGAAATTTAAGTTTCATCCCAGCTAAACATTCTTCTAGATAGAAAAAAGTTAGACATAGCTTAATGCAATGTTCTTAATAATTATTAACAAAGTCAACTCATTTTGATTTGGTAGGAAAAAATGAAACTTGAGACATACAAGGATTTAGTCAACTGTATCCCTCTCAGCTAATATTCTTGAATGAAAGTGTGACTGACCAGGACAGAATCTGGTGTGTTAACTATTTATCAGTATGAAAATTAAATTCTACATTTGAAACTGTAACTTTGGGTTTTTTACACAATGTGTAATTAAATGCAACTTGCCCTCAGACAGTATTGTGGAAGAAACAAATACTGGTGATTAAGAAAGAAATCAGACAAAGTAACAGGAGACAAAGTATAGCAAGGATTTTTAAATTCACACTGATGCAATTTTTCTCTCAGAAAATGTTTCAGTCATATTCTGCTGGAGGATGGAAGGGTTGGTCAAAGGAAATTACACCACATACTTGTCTATTTTAACACTCCTTAAAAACATTTGTATTTTACCATCATCATCAGAATGTTGAGATAAAGGTCCTGACCCAGTAGATGAATTATGTTCTTACATGATGATTTTTTTTTCTAGCAATACATGAAAGAAAGAGAGAAAAACTTGTGAAAGCTAAAGCAGCATTAATTTCCCAAAGAACAATGACCATTATGAAGATATCCTATTCAAAAAGAAAGACCATGTTTTCATGTTTTGACAGGTAGAACAAAGAGAAAATATTTTACAGTGTTCTGGTACACCTTTAGAAAACTTCCCAGAATGAGACCCATAGGAGGAAGCATGCTCTCTTGACTTGAGAATTGCTCAAAAACACAAGCCTGCTCTGGCTTCAGATCAAGAACAGCTCCCTGGAAGAGCATGGTGGCACTGTACTCTTTATAATAAAAATGAAAACAAAAAATATCATATTGATAACAATAAATAAAATATTAAAAATTAATAGACAGGCAACTCCCCCTAATATTTCTGGCTTAAAAAATGACTCCTTACTCGACCAGTTACTTTTCACATGTAAGCAAAGCAAAAGTTAGTTCTTTGGTATGGAGGTATAAACCACTTCTGTGACCTAGAGAGAGTTAATACTACCAACTTAAACAGTTGACAGAATAAATGTTGCTACTCAAGACAAAATGTAAAATGATTAAGCTCTGCAAATACTTTAATATCATTTTTGAAGACAATTTAAAGATGATCTAACTTCAGTCTCAGAGGATAGCTTAAAACACTTCAATTTAGACTATTTTTGTGTACTTACAGACATATAAGAAAAATGCTCATTGACTTGATTTCGTAATTATGTGGTCTCCCAACACTACCCATGAAGGGATATATACAAAAAATTTAATCTCCTACTATCAAAGACTTATTAAAGAATTCCCCAGGAGACCAAACAGATTCCGGTGTAAAAATGGTTCTGAGGGGTAAAAAAAGGCAAAGCAGAATTCTGTGTTTCTCATAAGCAGAAATTTTTTTAAATTGGGTATCCCTAAGCCCAGTAGAACTTTCCAATATGAAACCAAGTTTTCTGTGGCATACATAAGTTAATTTATCCTAGGTCTCAACATCACAAATACTTGGGAAAACAGCAGCAAGTATTCCTACAAATCAGCCAGAAGGATTATTTTTTGATTCTGCATCAGTTACTACTATCAAATAAACTGATTAGTTCTTTCAGTTCTCTTCACTGGGACCGAAAAGCTAGGGTGACTGTTGCCAAAATTGCATATAGATACAACAACAATCCAGTATCCTTTTCCTTTATAAATTAAGAAAAAGAAACAAATGAAAATATCTTAACATTTTACATTTACATTGGACAGATCACTGAGAGACTAACTGCACTTCATCCATTGCCACTGCTTTGGTGAAAAAAGTCTAAAGAGCTTCAGAACTCCAGTTTGGATTGACCAGCTGCATTACAGGCTACAAAATCAGGCTGTCCCAAACAGTAGGGACAGGACTTGAAAGGAATTTGTTCTCTTTTCATCTGTTAAACTTGTTTTATCTGACCCAATTGTCTGTGAGGTTGTAAAACATCTCTAATTTATTTGGCCAGCTGAGCATAGTGTCCCACTCTTACTCAATGTTTTGTACCTTGTTGCTACTAGTCTAGTATTTTCTTTGCATATTTGCAAAATTGGCATGATTTTCATTGTATGACATGTAAATCCCAAGACCCTTCAGACAAAAACAAATCCTCTGTGGAGCCAGTGGGACTTCTGATAACTGATTGAAGTGAGAGCACTGGGGTTCCAACACTATTTTATTCAAACAGTATTTTCTAATATAGAATCATAGAATCTCAGATTGGTTTGGACTGGAAGGGATCTTAAAGATCATCTAGTCCCAGCTCCCCTGCCGTGGGCAGGGACACCTTCCCCTAGACCAGGCTACTCAAAACCCCAGCCAGCCTTGCCTTGGACACTTCCAGGGATGGGGCTGCCACAACCTCTCTTAGCATTATCTTTGAGCTATATTTACTGCCAGAGAATGCCAAAAAGTTTGGTAAAGTTATTCCACAGGGATATTTAGCTTAACCCTCTCATCACAGGACTTGACTTCCAAAGCATTGCACCAATCTTGGAAGCTCATTCCCCCAGAAAATGGTCCAGACAACTGACAAGAGAGGAAGTCCCTTCTGAAGTGATTCAAAGCAAAAGACTCATTTAGCTGTTGCCTGGACAAAGAACCTATCTCTCTTCATTGACAAGAGGCTGCCAAGCAGATCCACACCAGGTTTTGATTTAGCTTTTGTGAGTGTTGCTTCTTAGTGGCAGCATTTAACCTGGCATTTAACAAACACTCTGAAGGTGTTTGATCCAGCTATAGTAGGGTATGGGACTGTTTCTTCCCTACTGCAGCCTGTGTCCATCATTAATTAATGAAAAGTACCGTGTCAATAACTAATCCTGTTATGAAAGGTGGCAGGGACATATAGCTGGATCTTAACTGCAGATCTGACGAAGTCAGCAGAGGAACAAGTTGTTCTCACACATATAACTCAGCTGTGAGATCTCTGCTTAATGCAATTTCAAGAAGACACTGCAGATTTTTTTTTTTTTTTTGTTTTTTTTGTTTACAATGTTCTCCTGATAGGTAAGTAGCATTAAAAAAAGACTGCAATGATGTCAAAACCACAGCTCTGATGTTGGAATATACAAAATGCATTTTCTTTTAACTTTATATTCATAAATATAAATATAGGAAGTCTCTACTGATACTCTTCTTTCATCCTGAAAATTCTTATGCAGTTTGTGAAGGTCCTTTTTCATAGAGCCATTTCAGCCACCACGAAACACAGCTTTTTCCTGAGACACCACAGATTAATTGAGTACAGCAATGAAGTAAAGTGTTGTAAAGAAATTTTTTTAAAAGCTTAGGGAGCATTATTATTGCTGAGTGGATTGGTCATCCTCTCTATGTTATCTAGGCTAAATCCCATAAAATTAATCTGCCTCTCTGCTCCTTCAAACACATATTCCTAATAATTACTACATAGAAAAAAAAAAGGCTTTGATGGTAATATGTGATGATTTTTCATACTAACTTAAGCCTAAACATGCACACTAAGAAGCTTCATTTCTCTTTTTTCAATATGTCAGATGTTTTCAACAATTGTACAAAATTACATTTAATCCTGCTCAGTATGCACCTAAGTAGCTTCTAGAAATCTGCAGACCTGTCCTCTAGGATAAGGTATGAGAGAGATCTCACTGCATTTTTCAGACATGCAATCAAGATGAAATAAACAACACAGAATTATTTGGCTGTGTAATATAAGTGATTATGTTATGCCACTTGAGAAACTAAAATCCCTTGGCAGCTAGGTTTTTTCACATGCTCCATTCTGCAACATCTCAGCCCATCCCATCATTTTAAGCATTTCTGAAATGGAGAAAAGTGACTTGAGGGAGGTACTGTGGTACAAAAGTTGTACCTCAGGGGAATGAAAGTGCATGGCTGCAGAAGACACTCAAGGTAGGGAGAGGGATAAAGGAAGGGGTTGTGCTCAAAAAACTCTTTAGAAAGAATCCAGACAGTATGGAAAGGTGTGAAGTCAAAGTACTGAAGTTAGGAGCTGTCAAGTCTGCTGCTTTTAGAAAAAGCTTGGAGAAATGCTTGTGGGCTTCCTGGAGGCACATGCTCCCATTCCTACTGTTCCCAATCCAAGGTCAGCCACCTCCTTTCAGTGGGTCCCCAACCTCTGTATACTTTAATATACATTCAACTGTCCTCTTTGAGAGGCCCATTATTATAAGCAAAAGTTATTTAAGTAAATGTGGAGAACACATTTAGAGTTACATTACAAAAACAAAGAAAATATTAATAATAAACAGTATATGCTCCTACATAACAGGACAAATGATTTTTCATACCTGCAGCATTCCCAGTGGAATAAAGTGTATTTGTCAAAATATAAACCATGTAACAAAATGTAAATGCTTCCTGTGACCTCCAGCTTTTACAATTTACTCTAGAAAAATAAATCACACTTCATTAATCTTCCCACTGAAACACATTATTTAGCATTCCAATGCAATAATTGAGTAAAGCAAAAGAAACAGTAAAATTTTCCAACAGCAGACAGAAAAAAATGAA